CAACGCTACATGCAAAAGTTAGGATCGTAAATAAAATTTTCATTAGGTTTGATTACAAGAAAAGCATCTGTAGAACTCTTATTATTGCATTTGAAAAGAGGGAAAAGATGATTGGGTTAGAGAACTCTAATGGTGATAAGTCTAAAATGTTAATTGAAAAATTGGAGAGTTGTGGATCTGGAATTAAAAATAAGGGTGTAGTTCTGACTTCTATGTTCTTGCTTATTACCAATTATATTTTAATTGTTTGTTGGGTTGTATTTATAAATTAATAAAAAATTGATTTTTCGAGAAGAACTGTATATGTGATTGTATACATATTCTCTTTTTTCTTAAGTACATATATTTTCTATAATAGCTAAATTTGGACTTGAACCCGAACTACCAAGTGTAGATATCTGTTTTTTTCCTCTAAAAAAGAGACATTGTGTAATGAATGATTGGACTTTAATCTAAATCTGCATTTTAGTAGAAAATTACTTCATCATCCTCTCACGGGGTTGTTTTGATTTCTAGCCTAAAATTCCAGCCAAGCCCATAACACTAAGCGAACTAAGAGAATGATAAAATGCAACAAATGTTTTGTATTTATATTGTTGCCTTCAAAAAGTAGATGGTTCTGGAACTAAGAGATGTCCTTCAAAAAGGCGATGAAGACTTTGTCCAATTCCCTTTTAAAGGCGATGGAGACTTTGTCCAATTCTCTTTTAAAGGTGATAGAGGCTTTGCCTTTCTTCATTTCCTGACAGTCTTTTAGCATTATATACAACTTTAAATGTGAGAAAAGGTAATATAACTCGGTATTAGTTAGTGCTTCAGTACACACTTGCAATGAACTAAAAGAAATAAGGGAAAGAAGTACATAATATGATCATTATGTTCCAATATGTTGTCCTAAACAGATAATAAATGTAGCAAAACCTGTTGAGTGAGATAGTGATCTGCATGCTTGACCATTAAAAACTGCTCCACAAGTTCGCTAACTGATTCATCAGAGATTTATTGGCACATTTCTAACAAGCACCTGAATATATATTTGTGTGTAGTTGATGTTTGTTTTACATTTCTGTTAGGGCGTAGGACAATGTAGAGGGACCATCTTCGGAGCTTATTATTAGTGTTAGTCTTTATCTTCTCCTCCTCCTGTCCTGAATCAATCGTTTCACTTTCTTTTATTGTGTGTCCTAAAATAATTATCACACTTCCTTTCTTAATATATTAAAGAATATATGACCCACAATCTTTCTTTTTCTTCTAGACACATTTCAACAACCCACTTTTTACCTTTCATTACTTTTTTAAATTTCATGAAGTCAAACCAAGAGAATTAATATGTCAAAAAAAGTTTCGCTTAAAAACCATTTTGTTTATTCAAAATTTAGAACCTTAGGCCCATGATTGAGATTCTACTGTATAAAGCTATTAATATAGGTTAATTGAGGCCTTTTCAAAAACTCATTTCACAATACTTTCTTAGATTGGATTTTGTTCCTATAGGAATATTTTTGTTCAAGACATCATGTTTTACACCATAACAGTTATTAAACTTCCCTCTAATTTCACATGCATAGATTCTTCTACTTTATGATTTGATTTATTATATACCCTATCGGCTGTACTATTTGTTGAATAACCAAGAAAAATTCCTTCATTTGATTTAGGCTCAAATTTGCCTAAATGATCCTTGGTATTCAAAATATAGCATTTACACCCAAAAACTTTGAAATAGGAAATGTTTGGTTTTCTACCTTTCCAAAGTTCATAGGGAGTTTTTTTAATAATAGGTCTAAGTAATACCCGGTTAAGAACGTAGCATGCCATGTTGACCGCTTCTCCCCAAAAATATTGAGGTAAGTTGTGTTCATTCAACATGGTTCTTGACATTTCTTGCAACGTCCTATTTTTTCTTTCAACAACTCCATTTTGTTGAGGTGTTCTAGGAGCCGAAAAGTTGTGAGTAATACCGTATTCATCACAATATGTTTCAAAATCGGTATAAAACGCAGGAATTTGCATTAAACTCAATTCTGTGGCCATTGTCACAAAGTTGGCTTATGCTAATTAAATTAAATTTTAGGTCATCAACAAGATAAACATCATTTATTGAAAAATCACTTAAAATACCTATCGTACCTTTACCAATGACTTTCGTCCGGGATTTGTCTCCAAGGGTCACATGTCAATGACTTTTCTCCTTGAGGTGTGTGAACCATCCTCTTGTTTCGGTCATGTGCCTCGAACATCCACTATCCACAACCCAAGTGATATTTTTCACCTAGTCAAAAAGGAATTTACTTTTGACTTAGGTTTGGGGTTCCAGTCGACGAATACCCTATGTCGATATACGGGTTTCGTCTTGGTAGGTTCCGGAAGTGGTATATGGACTTTTCGTTTTTCGTCATAATAAAAGAAATACTCCCTTCGTCCCTGAAAACCTTTCTCCTTTTTTTTTCATTCGTCCCAAAAAACACTTCTCATTTCTATTAAAAGGTCACTTTTACCCCTTACTTTTTCATACCATACTTATCATCACATCATACCTTTTTATTAGTAATCTATCCATCAAATCATACTTTTACCCATCACATCAAAAGACATTTTTGGAAATTCAATACCAAAATACACTCCCCTTAAATCCTCTTCAAAATCAAAACTCCCATGTTTTCCGGGACGGGGGGAGTAGTATCCACCATCATTTCAATACCAAGCCATTTGTTTGGACATTTTGTCACAATATGGTTAGCTTGCATGCAATAGTGGCAAGCCTTTACCTTTGATTTAGAAGTTCAGGCTTGGTTTGATGGGTTAGTTTTTGAGGTATTAAAATGATTTTTAGCCATGCTCATCAAATTAGTGGTTTCACCATAACCAATACCTTCTTTCGTTAGTTTTGGTTGGTTATCCCATTCTTTTATTGAGTTATAGCTATTGTAAAACATTTCCGAAGCTCCTCGCTTGGCCTTGTCTTTTTCTTTAATCAAAATTTCAAGTTTACATTTGGGCAACAAGTTTACAACAAGACTATGCCACTGTCTAGGAAGAGAGAATATAATCTTGGTGTTAATCTTACTAATAGGATAAACTTTATTTAGCTTACTCAAATTGTTGATAATGAGGTTGAATCTTTTGTTCATATCTTGAATGGATTCTCTGGCCTTCATCTTGAAGTTTTCATACTCGGATGTTCCTAAAGCTATCTTGGTAGCATTTCTGTCTTTATCTCCTTCGTGGGTGGCTTCTAGAAACTTTCATGCTTCTTTTGCGGATTTACAAGAGCTCACCCTAGCAAACTCATCTTGACCCAAGGCACAAAACAACACGTTTAATGCTTTGGCATTCAAGGAGAGTTTTTTCTTGCCGTTGGTTGTGAGTTTTTCCATTGGTGTAGGAACTTGGTGTTCACCTGCAGTTGTCATGGGAACAAATGGACCATGAGTAGTGACTATCCATAAATCATAATCAATGGATTGAATGAAATTCTTCATTCGCATTTTCCAATAGCCATAGTTATCCCCATTGAAGAATGGTGGCTTGGTAATGCTTTGATAGTTCATTAAATTTTTGTGTCATAAGAAGAAATAAAAGATGAGTGTGAAAGGATTAAACTTCCTGCTCCGATACCAATTGAAAGTCGATTTACACCCTAAGAGGGGGGTGAATTAGGGTGTTTGCAAGCTTTTCGTAAAAACAAAACTTATGCGCAAAGTAGTAGCGGAAAAATAGCAAGAAAAGTATAAAAGATAAAAATACGACACAAGCGATTTTATACTTGTTCGGGAACTCCCTACTCCAGTACCTCGAGGGTCCTCCTCAAGGATTTAACCTCCACTAACTTGTTTGGCTTCACTAAGAAGACTCAAACGAGGTTTGGCAAACAACCTTTGCCAATAAGCAAATGAGATTTTACTACGGCTATCTCAACCGTTTACAACCGAAGATTTTAAGGCTATCTTCAACCTTACAATGAGGATTTAAAGGCTATCCACACCTTTTACAAATCAATAAAAGATTGATGTTGCTTCTCTACCAAAATAATAATAAATATGAATTGGGTAGGAGAAGAACAAAAGATTAAATCAACAACAACAAAAGCCTATAAGCAAGATATAAAATAATGAAGCACAAATGCCCTTGTGTGTGAATGTATAAAAATAATGAAAGCTTTATACTCAAAAGAGTAAGAAAAATAAGAACAAAGCTTTAAGGAACACTCAAGAATAGAGAAAGAGACTTTAGATTTAATTGGGAAGTTGTTGTATATAAAATGAGACTTAGAGGGGGTTTATATAGGAGTTTGGAATATTAAAATATGAGTTTTTAACGTTAAAAGCCGTTAGGAAGTGATTAGGGGTGATTTGAATTTAAATTGGCAATTTGCTACAGTGCTGATAACGGATACGATACCCTTCACGGTAGGGTCAGTACTGTCCGGTACTAGGTACCGTGACCACGGTACAGCCTACCGTTAGGGGGTACCGTATAGGCCAAAAAGATGGTTTGGCTCTAGCGGTACCTGGGACGGGTTGGGCCAACCGTTCCTGCCTACCGTCGGTACACAGGTAGCGTTACACGGTAGGGGGTACCGTGTACCACTTAGGTGAAACGTACAGCGGTACGTTCACTTGGCTACCGGTGGTACCCTGGTGCTGTGTAAACGGTAGCCAGGTACCGTTAGACCTGTATAAATTTTCCAAAACTCGTTTTTTGTGTTTCGTTTTCAAAGCAGATGTGCATATCAGCATGGACTCGGGATTGAGAATGACGTTGATGGTAGACAAAGCAGATGTGCGTATCAACCTAAGAGATTCCAATTTCATAGTTTGAATTTCATGTACCAAACGGGGCCTAAGAGATTTTATGCGGACTCTAATAAAAATGTTGAAAATAAACCTTTCGGTGGGAAAATGGTTGTGCTCGGGGGTGACTTTTGTCAAATACTTCCGTTTATACCAAGAGCTTCAAGAGAAGAAATTGTGGAAGGTATCATGACTTTGTGGTCGTATTGCAAAGTATTTACATTGACTAAAAATATGAGATTACATTTTGTCTTCATCCAGCCACGCAGATAGTGACACACAACTTTTTTCTGAGTGGATAATCAAGATTGGAGATGAATACCTTGGTGTGGTTAATGATGGAATTGGTGAAATTGAAATTCCACCTAAATCCTTGATCCTGAACTCAAGTTCTCCACTACAAAGTATAGTGGAATTCATGTATCCAAACTTATTGGAAAATATGAAATATTATACTTTTTTATGGATAGAGCTTTATTAGCACCCACGCTTGAAGTTGTGGAAATGATCAATGATTTTGTTTTGTTTCTTATTTCTGGAGATGAAAAGGAGTATTTGAGCTCTGATTTTTCATGTCAGAAGTAGATTCAGATATAGGCATAGATAGTAATTGCATAACGACTAAGTTTTTGAACGATATCAAGTGTTCGGAGATTCCAAACCACAGAATTGTTTTGAATAAAGGAGAACCAATTATGTTATTAAGAAACATTGATCAAACATCTGGGTTGTGTAGTGTTACAAGGTTAATAGTTGAAGAGTTGCGAATAAACATTATCGGTGCAATTGTTGTATCCGAAAACAATGCATGTGAGAAAGTTTACATACCAAGAATGAATTTGGTACCGTCAGATCCTAGATTACCGTTTAAGTTTCAAAGAAGACAAATTTGAATATCTTTATGTTTTGGCATGAGGATCAATAAGAGTTAAGTCCAAACATTATCCTTTGTTAGATTATTCTTGACGAAATCGGTATTTTCTCACGATCAACTTTATGTTCCAGTTTCACGAGTGAAAACTACGAAAAAATTGAAAGGGTTAGTTTTAGATGAAAACGACGACCCTTGCAATTTCACCAAAAAAGTGGTTTACCCTGAAGTTTTCATTAAAAAATTGGATTTAGTTAATACATTTATATGTTCTTCTCAATTTTTATATATAGTATGAATTTTAGTTAGCATACTTTGTTTATGTCGTATCATTCATTATGCTTCTAACATTGTATACTATATTTAGCTATATTTTTAATCATATACTAAAATAAATTAAAAAATTCAACAGAGTTAAAAACAACATGCATTCGACCCCGTGTATTGCACGTACGGGTTAAATACTAGTATATATATGGAGAGCTAGAGGATGCAGGGGTTCCACACTATATTTATTTCACCCATAATAATAATAATAATAATAATAATAATAATAATAATAATAATAATAATAATAATAATAGTAATAGTAATAGTAATAGTAATAGTAATAATAGTAATAATAATAATAATACTAATAATAATAATAATAATACTGCGATCCGCAATAATAATAATAATAATAATAATAATAATAATCATAAAAATTATAAAAATAATAGAAATCACCCTAAATAGTAGGGGTGTTCAAAAATATCCGATCTGAAAAATCCGTCCATGATCCGGGCCGATCCGATCCGAAAAATGGATATCCGATCCGATATTTTAGCTTTCGGATATTTCGGATCGGATATGGAATGAAATATTAAGCTTTCTATTTCTCAATTATGTTGATATTCTTTTTTAATATATTTATAAAATTATGATTTATGATAACACTATCAAGGTAACTATGACATTTAAAATAGAGTTGACTTCAAATTCAAGTCTAATTTATGACCTCTACTATTCTAAAAAATAAAAAATCATTCTAAATAATTTTTTAGAATTATTGGAAAAAATAAGAATTCAAAAAAAATAAATAAAATTTTTTCCGGATATTCCATTGATCCAATCCGAAATTTCGGATATCCGAAATTCGGGTATCCGGTAATTTTCGGATCGGACATGGAATAGATATTTACCGATCCGAAAATTTCGGATATTCGAAAAACCGGATCGGATCGGATCGGATATATCCGAATGAACACCCCTACTAAATAGGACTAAAACATAGAGAAAAGTACCAAAATAGGACTTTCATGTTTTTCCCCGAAATAGGACTTTGCACTGTGGTAATGTGGCACTGTACATGTGCACATTACTATACTTTTTGGTAATTTACATGACCATGTTTGGTAATGTTAGTCCTATTTCAGGAATAAAAACATGGAAGTCATATTTTGGTGTATTTTCAATCTTTTAATCCTACCTTGGTCTTTCTCTCTAATAATAATAACAATAAAGTATTTTTATTATGTATATACTTATTATTTATTGTAGTTGTTCTTCGATAGAAGCACTCCATTTGCAAAGGATACTTTACAGTTAAATGGCAATTTGATAATTAAAAAAACCTTACTAGGGAGTAGACCTGTGCAAACAATGGTCGGCCCGTCTGACCCGCCCAGCCCACCCTTTAAAAAGAACGGATATGGATAACCTTTAATACCCACATGGGCGGGCCGGCCCGAGCCCAAATTGTATTTGGGAGAATCTGGAAGTTACTTTTAGCTCATCCAGGCCAACAGGCCCGCCCATATTCATCAAAAATATTCACTTTATTATTAATTATCTAGCCAATATAATTTTGAAAAATTGTTATAGTTCATGTATAATGGTTCAATTCACTCACTTCTTTTAAACAAAAATCAATATTCTTTTAATGAATTGGTATGATCGGTTTATTAACCATGCAACAATACCTCTGTTATGCTTTCTATGTAAATTTGGTGAGTGGTAATTTTATTTTAAACATTGAAAAAAGAATTCAATGTTTTTTTTGGATTTTTTGTGCAAACAAAGTTTTCTTGGTGTTTTATCCAGGCTGGGCGGCCCGGTGGGTAGTTCGGCCTGCAAAGAAGGGCGGGTATAGGTAAAGAGTTTAGCCCATCAAATTTGGGCCGGGCTAGACCCGCCCATGTAAATGGGCTAATAATTTGTATTCAGCCCGGCCCAGATCCAGCCCGGATCCTTATTTGCACAGGTCTACTAGGGAGAAAGAAATAGGTTCAATCATATTTATTAGAATGAAATGACTCCAAAATACATTTCTTTTGAACACATAACTCTATTACTTCCTATATTAGTTAAAATAATTCTATTTTTTGTTTGGGCTCAATATGTTTTTAGTCCCGGTAAAATAGGCGATTTTCATTTTTGGTCCTTGTAATATTTCTTTGTAAAGTCATCATTATAAATTTTTTATTTTGAAAATTGTCCTAACACATAATTTTTACTTCTCATTTTTTTGAGATATCACATTTATTTCGTATTCAGCATCTCAATTTTGTATTTGTAATTACATCACACACAATTCATATGACATAGGTTGTCTTCTTCATCAAATTACATCCTCAATTTCTAAATTTTATTATACTGCATTCAATTCCTAAAAAATTAGAAATTTGAGATGTAATATATACGGAGTAAATAACAAGGAAAATGATGTCTCTACACCAAAATTTGTACCCCGAAGGCATGTACCAACATTTAGTGCTTGTGTGATGCTAATGTGATACTTTACAACGACACAAAATGTCATTCCATTTTTTTTATTGAACTAACATTTTGTACCATTTAAAGTGATGGTGCATCCCTTTGGGATACACTTCTAGGTGTAGCCTTAACATGGTTGAAATAACAATGATATCAGAAGTAGTAGAAATTAGAAATGCAAGACTATGATGTTTAGTACGAAATAAATGTACTATCTCAACAAATTAGAAGTGAAAATTATGTTTA